AAAGTAATTTAAAAATTAAATACATTCCTAATTAAGGGTATCTAGATAGATTTATGCATTCATGGAAAAAGTGTGTATTCGGAGAAAGATGGACATTCAGTCATCTTGAAATGTATGATCCCTAATTAAATAAAGAATTTGAAGATTTTGAAATTTAAATCAATAATTACCTATTGTCTGGCTCTTAAATTTATTAATTGGAGTTCTATTAAGATTATGTATGCTAGAAAATTCAAGACTTAAATTAAAAAAATTTTAAATATTGATTGAGAGTAAATCTATTATGTATCAGAAAAAAATTAAAACCTGAATTTGAGTTATGCTCATTACTCGCATTATTATTATTATTGATAGCTAGTTGATTAAAATCAAAGAATCATAATCAGGTACTTATAATTCTTATTATTAAGATTTACCTTTAAGAACTTAATTAAAGCACATTTTTAGGTTTATACCTTAGGTTATTTCCTATTACCTTAGAATATCAAGAAGGTGATATTTGGATTTTTCTATGAATGTTTGTACTATATGATAGATCAAATATTGATAATTAACTTTCAAGATCTAATAAGTCATGGTATTATATTTTTCATTATTAGAAATTTTAATAACAAACATCATATAACATCTTTCTTGTTATTTATTTATAGGAGGAGACTTAGTGAAAATTTGATCATCTATATTTTTCAAATTAATTAAAACTGATATTTATTCAATAAAATTGTAATTCATAACAATATTTTTAGATTTTTAGTTTCTTATTAAATATCATAATTTTTAAGTTAAAATAACAAATTTATATTATTTCAACTTAGTTGTCTGAACAAATAAAAAATTGAAGTTTAAATTATGAATAGATTTTGAATCACATTAAAGTCAACAAGATTGAATATAATGAATTAAGGAAAATTGCATTTAGATTTTTGAAAGCTATTATTAAATATAATAATATAGCCAACGAAAATGGATCTCAGAAGACTTTTAAATAAATAAAGTAAAAATTTAATAATAAAAATTATAATAGCTTTAACAATAATAATAATTAAAATAACCACTGTAAATCAAACCTGCAGGTAATATAAATTTAATATTAAGTTGTTGAATTAGGTGTAAAGGAAGAAATAATTTAATTGCTGACTCAAATAATTAACAATGTAACAAATGCTTTTGGGTTTTTTTTTTGGAGCAAACTATATATTTATGTGCTAAACAATTTGAAATTAATTTATAATGTTTTACTAACAAACCATTTAATCATCAGGGAAAATATTGGTAATGATTTTCCTAATTTACAGTTGCTAAAAATGATTGAAAAAATTAACACAGGAGGAAATAAGTTAAGAAAAGGAAACAATCGATCAATAGATTAGAAAAAATCTACAAATTTATAAAAAGCATAATATTTATATTTTTTAATCATTTAAATTATTGAAAATTCATGATAGTAGACATAGAAATTTTTTTTTCTAATAATATAGTTTAAAAATGATACAATAAAAAGACATAAAAAGTTATTAAAGATAACTAGTAGACATAAATAGTAGTTGCTACAAGCTAACCAATTTTTTACAGAGTGCAATGGCTTAGAATGTAAGGCTCCCACTTGCTATAAAACAATGTCCAAGGGCTTATTTCAGAGGGCTCTTGCACAAATTAGTCAAATCGTCAAATTTAATTTCAATTGTTAGTTCAATAATCCATCATAAATAATCGTGAACATATATCTGCAGAACTGAGATATTTAATATTTCTATCATCTCCTGACTTAAACATCCAAGCCCATGTCTTATTTCCTTCTTTGATAATAACATTCATTTTGCAGCCATAATGTATTCATTCTGTTGGAAATTATGGTCAGATGATAAATATTAAGTGACTCCACATCCATCTAGAGCTATCTCATTTTATTCCATAAATCCACTTTTTTAAATAGCTAAGATGATGAATTTCCAATTTTTTCTTCCTACTAATCAAACAAATTATATCCATTAATTTTCTTTGGATAAAAAGAATCATCATTCCTAAATTTATCTTAATCTAGCCATATTTTATTTTTAAATCAGCCTTTGAAATAAGGTTTGTGATATGACAAATACCTTCAACAGAGATAAAGATTCAATTTATGCTAGTGGTTTATGAAAGTCTCTTTATATGTCCAAAGTATAGATCTGTCCTTAAAACACTAAGAAGCTTGAATATTATGGCAATTCAAAATTAAGATAAGATTGTTCTTTCCTTATGCAGAGTGTCCTAGCTAAGTATTTTGGGAACATCTTCTCATAGTTGACCTCTTCTCTAATCTATTAGATAATTAATTAGGGTTCTATTAAATCTTTAGGAGTCTTCCTTTTTTTTATTTATATTAATTATGATTTCTTCATCATCTATTATTAATTCACTCTCTTATTAAATGTTAGATGATTAATTTATAAAGTTCATTCTCCTCTCTCTTTAAACTCTCTTCCTCATCTGAAAATTCTTAATGTATCTTCTCTACTTTTATGTTAGATAATTATCCTTTTCGTTTTCTTTTTTGTATATATCATTTTTTTTTGCAGATAAGGCTGGGTAAGTAATAATCTCGACTTATTCTTTACAATTAAACAAATATCCATAAAGTTAAGGGATTGAAATTGTTTTTATTTTTTTGAACAATTTATTTGATGAAAGAATAAACTTTAAGCTCTTTTTGGGAACTAGTATTCATTAATATTAAAATTTAAGAAATAACAATGTAAACATCTCAGTTAGTACAATAGATTTCAAAAAAACACATGAAATTACTCTGTATTTTTAATAAAGTTATTTATTAAATTATAATAATATAATTAGTTTAGGGTCTTAAATTAATATAAAAGGATTACTCCTACTAAACTGCTCTTTATAAATAGTTATTTCTTATTTTTTTAAGAAAAAGCATGAATTCGGCTTCAAGTTTAAATAGTGACTCTCTGATTATATACATGAGAATTATGAGGTGTATTTCAAGGCAATGTTTAATTGTCATAAACATCATAAGCTTAAACATATTAGACTATCTGTATTATTTTAAGTTAGGCCTTTTCTTATTGAAGGATTTATGAAAGTATCATTTTTATAACTTTGAATCATTCCAAAGATTACATTTGAGACTAATGCAAATATTCCAAATAGTTAAATCAAAGAATTATTAAAGTATTTTATTAGAAGAATTTGAATTCAAAATTATTAAACAAAGTAAAATATTCATCTCATTTTGTTAGTATGAAGAATTGTAAATAAATTTTCTTTTTCTTTTCAATATATAATTTAAATTAAAGTTTGATTACTTCTTTCTCTATTTCTTGAAATATCAATAATAAAAATAAGGTAATTGACATTTAAACATTTTTCTTACATAATTGAATATATAATATAATACCAAGATATACTTTTGGAGTGGTTTAGGTAGAAATATATTTTTACCTCAAGTATTCCTTATTAAATTAACTCATCTTTATAATTAATATATTTAATTGGAAAATTTCATAATCCTTTTTTTAAACTTATCTGATTTAATAGAACAAACTTAAGCAAATAATAAAGCCTAACATTGATAAATCTTAAATCAAAAATACTCATTCAAATTATTCTAAAAAATATTGATTTTAATCTCAAATTATTTTGTATAATTTGATTTAATTCTCTCAATCTAAATTTGTCATCTAAGTTGTCATTGATCATTCTTAAATCTAAGTTTGAGTCTATTATTATTATTTATATAAAGATGTATATAAAACTTAAATCCAACTTGTATTAATTTTAAATATATTGATATTAATAATAGAATAATTAATGTTTTATTATAAATTGTAATAGAAATAAAGATAAAACAAGAGTATCAAAAATTCTAATAGTGGAATAGAATTCTTTATCACTGTATCAATATCAACAATCGACCAGTTATAAGTATAATTCATTAAAGTAAATAATTGAGTTTACTTTTTTTCCCTTTAGATTTAATTATTGATTCCGATTTCATCTATTATTTCTTCATCATCATCATCTTCCTCCATTAGTAGTAATTATAATTTCTATCTAGCTACCTTTTACAATATTATAATCTTTTAGCTACTTTTTTGGATCAAGGATAGCATTATTTAGATAAAGAACAAGTATTTATTAATTTCCTGGCTACAGTATTGAATGCATCTCTGAAATCAATTCCTACACCAAAGACTCAGTATCAACTTGAACTTGGTAAATTTTCGATTTCGCTTTATAAGACAAAATAATTTGAATTTCTTTAGAAGCCATGTTATTTTTTTTTATTTAAATTTATTCTTTATTTAAGAACTCCTAAAAATAGTTCTATTTATCTAAATTATAATATAAAGCTTATGATATATTAAAATTACATTTTACAGATAAAAAGGTCTATAAATGTATAGAGAAAAAACTTTATTTATTGCTTCAAATTAGAATTAAATAATATTTTTTGTTTAAGTATTAATATTAATAAGAATAGAGGGTTTATTCATATTAATAGTGAAAAGGTAAACATAATAAAGAAAATAATAACTCAAAATAAAAAGAAGACACGAAATGCTTTTTTTTATTTCAATATTATTTTTTAACTTAGATAAGAAACATTAAAGTTCAAAGGATTTTATTAGAAAGTTTAAGAATTAAAAAAGGATAAACTTTAATGAAGACCCCAAAAATGTAGTTATTGGGTTTAATTTTTAATTAAATCAAAATTTAGTAAATCTCAAGGCATAAAAAAATAACAACAATCTAATAAAGTTATTCTAATGTGAGAATCATGAAGCTGATAAATTTAAATATAAATAGACAATATTATCTGAATTGAATTTATTTATATAATTAGAGTATTGTTATTAATCAATGTTGGGAATGCAGTATCACTCTTATTAATACTATTCCTATATAGATATTGAAAAGTTAAAGATAATTCTTGAAGTGGATTAAATAGGTGACGTTACCCTTTATGAAGATGAGAAAACGATTAAATACAAGATAGACAGATCTAAACATATTCGATTAAGTGACTTAATAGAATTAATAGTAAATATATATAATTTTAATATAATAGGAAATTGGCTTTATCAGATTTCATTTAGGATAGCTACTTTTGTTATTCTAAAATTTATTAATCAAAGTGAAGTTGATGGAAGATCACAAATTGGAACACAACTATTTAAGAGCAGATAGAATTTGGCTGAATTTAAAAGAGTAAACCTAATTATCCATTACATATTAAAAAATTTAGTATTCAATATCTTTTACAGGATATTAATGTTAATTTTATGACAATCTAGAATAAAAGGAAGTAGCAGACTCATAAAGGATTCTATAAATTATTTCACTCATAATTAAAAGATTAAAAACAAATAATATATTTTTAAATAAACATGGCAAATCAAATAATTAAATCATAGATAAAATTTATGAACCTATTTTATAATCATGCTAAAAAGGATAAATAGGTGATACTATTAATTAATTAAAAATATTGTTAACAACATATTCATATAATTCTAATGATTAAAAAGTGTCATTCGATGATAATTTAATAGATGAATACAAGTATTCAAAGAGAAAACATCAAAAAAATAAAATTGAAATGTAATTATAATAATTAATTGCAAAACTCGATTAAATTCCTTTAGTTACTGAATTATTTATTTTCTAGAAGATTAAAGAAATTAGAGTTAACTTAAAGAATTGGTAGAGTCTATAATTTAATGATAATGATGAGAAATTAACATATCATAAAATGTTATAAACTTATAACAATAATAAAAATTAATTCTTATAAACTGCTATTGTAATTATAACAGAAATGCTTGATAATATTGTAAAAAATAAAATTGACATAATCTTTAAGGAAAGTATGTAATAGTCTGAAAAAGGATAAATAATTAACACTATAATTGAATTTAAATTATTAAATTACTTTGAGAATACTAATGATATTTTTTTAACAATAGAGCCACAATTTTATATGAAATTAATAATTGATTTAGCATATAAATACATAGAAGATTATATTGACGATTATATCAATTCCTAAATCCTAATATTGGTTTATGATTTAATTTGAAGATTAAGGCTATTGAAATTATATAATAAGAATTTTTCAATACATTTAGATTATTTATTTTAAAAAAATCTCCTGATTAAATTAGTGGATAGACAATTCTAATATATTATTCTTTTTTAAGATTTAATAAAAAAACAATTATTATCAAAAGTATACTATCCAAGTGCCACATGACCTCTTAAAATATTAAAATTAGTATCCTTAAATTAATAAAATATTAAACTAAATTTGGAAAATATATTAAGTAATTTTTGATATCAAATATTATAATTATAATTATAATTCTATGATTCAAGCAGTTACTGAGTATTATTTTTTAATCAAACCCATATAAAAGTATTAGACAAAATATCAAAATTTAAATTTAAACATTCATAGGATGTCTATCCAATCCACATATATTTCTGAATTATAAAAATAGCTCTAGGTTATAAATAATATAATAATCTATTTATATCAAAAATTTTGATAATCAGTTTATTCATTCTGGCAGTTCAATTTAGATAACTTCTAGGCATTCTTCTATTTTATGCTGATAAACATCAGTCGTAATTCTAATTTTTTTATTCATTTATATAGCTATAAATTAACCTCTTTATTGTAAATAACTTTATTTCACGCTCTTCTACTTCTAACCTTGAAGAATCTTTATTAAGCTTGATAGAATGAAGAGAATAGGGAAGATATTTTTAATTTATTTGATACAAAAAAATTCAAGATAATTCTAATAGACATTCTTCGAGAATACTTCAAATCAAAAAAAGATTTTAAGTACTTATTCAATTATATATCTTTTAAGAAATTAGGATATTTTAGATAAGCCAAAAAGCGATATAATACTTAAACTCAGAAAGGAAATCCAATAGTTTTATAAGGTCTTTAAAAAATATTTATTTTCTTTAATAATACTAAAATGAAGTAAGCCTTGATAAAGTATCTTAATTTTTAAATTATTATTTAATTTAACATGTAATTAAAAAGAATAATAGTCATCAATTTTTCAAATTAATTTTTAACTTAACAAAATAAAGTTTACCTAAAACTTAAAAAATAATAGAATAAAAATTGAAATAAATAAAAATCTTTTATTTTATTTTAGGATTATTTGAATACATATATCAATTTTCTTATTAACTCTCTTATTATGATTATTATTATTAAGATTTTACTTCTTAATCATATTAATCAACAATAATTTATTCAGAATTATTTTCAAATTAATTATTATTTTACTCCTAGAATAATTATAGAGTTTAATCATCAGAAGATACTTCATTAATTTATTATATATTTTATTTTTACTCTTCATTTTCTCTTATTTCTTCTAGCTATTCCTTATTTTCTAGATTTTATTCCTGTTAGTTAATTGGACTCTATATTTGATGTGGCTATTATTAATCCATTAAAATCGTTTCAGATTTTTATGATTCTTATGAATTGTTATAATTAACTACCACTTACTAAAAATCATCCAAGTTCTTTTTCTTTTTTATTATTTTTTGTTAATCTAAAAATAATCTATCATAACATAATTATCCCATTTTATAGTCACCTCTTTTTGACTTTTATTTAATAATATCTAAAGACAAATCGCTAACAATATTAATTGATAATACTTGCAATCTTTTTCAGTTAATTCTTTTTTTTCAATTTAAATAGCTTCTTAAGGGATATATTTATTTGGCAGAGAATTTATTGGTTACTTTTTTATACCAAAGATTTCATTTATTTTCTAATTATACAAATTAACCAAAATAAAAGCAGCTAAATAGATGTACATTATTATTCGATCTTTTCCTTGCTTAGAAAAATTTTAATCATAATTCTATTGAGAAAAATCATCTTTTTGAAAAAATGAATTATTTAACGTTTAATCATATTTACGTCTTTCATTTTGATTTGATAATATTGTGTAAGCTGCTGTGACTTATTTGAAGTATTCCTAATGTAGTCGTAAAAATCACTTAATCTTTTGATTATTATGAATTAGTATCTGGGTGATACATCTTCACAATCTTGAGATAGTTTTATTTTATTTGATCTTAACTGGCATTTTAAGGTACATCAAGTATTTAATAAAGGGTTCTAAATGAAAAAAGAAGTCTATTTGAAAATTTGATCATAAATTAATTGTGGTAATTATTCAAATTAAATTGTAAAGTTAAGTAGCTTATTAAAGAGATTAAAATCATATTATTTTTTAAAATATTTGATTAAAATAATCTAAATAATAAACAATCTTAGAAAATGTTGTTATGAAATGATTCATTCAGATCTATTCCTATAAGTATTAATATTAAGTAAATGAAGTTGATATACACACTTCTTTCATTATTTTTGATAATTTATAAGAATATCATTGTTTCATCTATTTGACTTAAACTAATAGGAAAATTATTGAAATGGTAGGACATTACAACAAAAGATTCCTATAATTTCCATTTTTAAATTATATCGTATTAAAAAAAAGTATCTATGTTTACTAAAACTTTAATATTCATTTTAATTTTTCTTAAAAGATTTTATATATTCTCTTGATAAGCTACTCGTCAATTATTGAAGATACTGTTTTTTTTTGAAAAGATTCTAGGGGTTATTATAAGATTAAATAGGGTTTTAATACATACCCTAGGATTGGGATAAATAATATGGAACATCTTAAAATCCAAATTTTATCTATAATAAGATCAAAAGTAATAAAAATTTTAACGTTATAATAGAATAATAACTATTAAGACTTTAATTTTTTATAAAAATCAATTCCTTTGAAAGAATAATATAACATTACAAACCCAATTTTATTCAAAACTACTTTAAATAATATTAGACCTTAACATTAATAAGTGTTATTGTTGCTACTTGTTAATTTCTTAGTTTTTACAGAAGCAGTTATGTAGATAATTTCAGAAGTTAAATAATACTCTATTATTANAAAAAATGAATTATTTAACGTTTAATCATATTTACGTCTTTCATTTTGATTTGATAATATTGTGTAAGCTGCTGTGACTTATTTGAAGTATTCCTAATGTAGTCGTAAAAATCACTTAATCTTTTGATTATTATGAATTAGTATCTGGGTGATACATCTTCACAATCTTGAGATAGTTTTATTTTATTTGATCTTAACTGGCATTTTAAGGTACATCAAGTATTTAATAAAGGGTTCTAAATGAAAAAAGAAGTCTATTTGAAAATTTGATCATAAATTAATTGTGGTAATTATTCAAATTAAATTGTAAAGTTAAGTAGCTTATTAAAGAGATTAAAATCATATTATTTTTTAAAATATTTGATTAAAATAATCTAAATAATAAACAATCTTAGAAAATGTTGTTATGAAATGATTCATTCAGATCTATTCCTATAAGTATTAATATTAAGTAAATGAAGTTGATATACACACTTCTTTCATTATTTTTGATAATTTATAAGAATATCATTGTTTCATCTATTTGACTTAAACTAATAGGAAAATTATTGAAATGGTAGGACATTACAACAAAAGATTCCTATAATTTCCATTTTTAAATTATATCGTATTAAAAAAAAGTATCTATGTTTACTAAAACTTTAATATTCATTTTAATTTTTCTTAAAAGATTTTATATATTCTCTTGATAAGCTACTCGTCAATTATTGAAGATACTGTTTTTTTTTGAAAAGATTCTAGGGGTTATTATAAGATTAAATAGGGTTTTAATACATACCCTAGGATTGGGATAAATAATATGGAACATCTTAAAATCCAAATTTTATCTATAATAAGATCAAAAGTAATAAAAATTTTAACGTTATAATAGAATAATAACTATTAAGACTTTAATTTTTTATAAAAATCAATTCCTTTGAAAGAATAATATAACATTACAAACCCAATTTTATTCAAAACTACTTTAAATAATATTAGACCTTAACATTAATAAGTGTTATTGTTGCTACTTGTTAATTTCTTAGTTTTTACAGAAGCAGTTATGTAGATAATTTCAGAAGTTAAATAATACTCTATTATTATAGTCAAACCTTATATAATTCAAGAAAGATTTTTTTTGTTTTTAGTTTAATCAAGAATAATACAAATTATTATTATTTATATCAATGCAAACGCAATCATATTTCTATATGTTCTAACTTCGTAATAAATTGTCTATCCTCTGCTTTTTAATAAATTTTATTAAGATTTTTATATCTTTATTGAATAATTAAATCTGATTCAGATGATTTGGATAGAATTTCATAATAAACTGCTAAGCTATTTTAATGTAATTATAATATTTAAATAAAGAATCAATAATATCATAAAGTAGTTTGAAGAAAAGTCTTAATAAAAGTGATCTGAGAAGGTTAATTAATTATTTAAATCAAAATTTGATAGAACTTTCTTTATTATACAATCCAAACTATTTCAATTAGTTAAATAAGATCAATCTAATTTATATATTAAGAGTGGTTATCTATTTTGTAAATAATTCAATTAAGTATATTTAAACCATTTGTTAATCACAACATCCTTTCTTATTAATCGTTTTGATTCTTGAAGGATCAAAATCCAATAAAAGTTTACAGTTTTTCAAACCCTTTTTTCAATGCATTAGAAAAAGGTAGATTTATATTATAATAGATGATTCTTTCTGTTGGTAATTAAGATATGCAGAAAATGTTGGTTTTAGCGAAATTACTAATCTTTTTGATTACCTAAGAATATATGATGATTTCAACAATGATATAAAGTAATAGTAAGTAATTTAAAAAAAAATTATTTTATAACTAGGTAAAATATTAAATTTTATTTATATTATATTATGAATATATTTTTTAAATAAGTTTTATTACATTTAATAAAATTATGATTTTGTTAAGAACAGGACAACACTATCCAGTAAAACTCAATAATCTTACTATAAATTGAAAATATATTTCTTTTTTAGTATACCCATTAATATCTAAATATCATACTCTTTTTTTAATGTATTGCCTTAAGTAGCAATATATTTAATTAATGTAGAATGAAGTAATAATATTTCAAGCTTATATTATTACATAAACTTATTAAAATTACATAAATAAAGTTATGGTTTTATATAAATTCATTTCTCCTAAAAATTTTTATTATTTTCTTGTTGATGATATTCGAAAATGATTACAATAAGTGACAAGATTGTTAAACATATAATAAGAATTTACACTAAATCCTTTTGTTTTTAACAAAGAAATTTTTGATGTAGTTATTAAGGCATGGAAATCAATTATTTATTTTATTGGTTTTGAGTACATTATTTTTTACTAGATAGACCTTTTTGTATTCTTTTCATATGAGATTATTTGATTGCTATTTATTCTCTCTATGTTTCTGTCATTTACTATCAACAATATAATAATTCAATACTTGATATTTTGATGATTAATTTATTTGTATTTTGAAAGGTGAATACTTTCTATTTAAACTGTTTTTCTTGATAAATACAAGTTAAATTGGCTTGGTTGGTAATTTGGTTTACAAAGTTTTTAAGGCTTATTCCATTATTTATTATTTCTAAGATATTAATTATTATAAATTAAATTTACTGAACCTCTTAAATACTTCAAAATTTCCAAATAGGGGGGTATGATTAGGTCTTTAATTTCTTTGATTGTTATATGTCATTTCAATATTAAGAAATACATATTTATAAGAGAAAATTAAGAAAACATAATTATATTGAAGAGAATTAATTTATAAATCAGAAAAGGTAATATAAATAAATTTTTATCATGAATTGTAAATAACATGAAATCATTTATTTTTTATTTAATAATTCATTAATCATAATTTATATATCATAATTTATATATCATAATAATTTTTAATATTTTATTTTATATGATGGAATATTTAGTTTAATTTAGTGCATACTATTTTTTGGAAATATTTCATTCTTAAAAAAAAGATAAGAAATTAAATTAGATAGAATGAATAATTCGGCATACTTTAGTACTCCTTAGCCATTAATTTAAGAAATCAAATTATTTGACATAGTTATAATTAATGAAATTTTTGTTGATTTGTGAATGATTCTTAAAAGAATTAAATGAATATCAGTTACTATTAAAAAGTAATTATAAGTGGAAATGGATAATTTTCATCCATAGCTAATTGCATCTGGTTTAAAAGCTTAATATAAGTTGAAAAATTGAAATAATTTTCAATTAATTTAATTAATAATAAGGAAATAATTAAGCCTACTCCTGTTGGAAGCTTTCTCAATTAATGTCTATCCTTATTGATGTTTCTATCTCTTGAATAATAGAAATAGTATTTGATTTCAAATTAATGATTGATGGCCATAACTTATTAATATTATTATTATTGAAAATTAATTGATCAAATTTACAATGGGTATGATGATAGATATTTTAGATAATAATATTCTTATCTAAGCAAATAGGCATTTCTTAATCAATCATAAAGCTTATGAATGATAAACAAAATATTATTTGTTAATTACAAAATAACACTGTACTTTTAATCATTGTAATTTCAATATTATTTATATATTATGAAATACTCTTCAAAATAGAATCAATATTTTTAAGGAAAACTATAATTTATTTGAAATTCTTAAATTATTGAAGAAATATAATTTAATTATAATATTAATTCAAGGCAATTCAAATTTATTATCTTCTTAACTTATACATCACTTAATCAAATCAAAGAAAGATATCCTTAAAATTTGAAAATTTATTTAGTAAATTCTTTAGATCATTTACAATCTCATATCAAATTGTAAATAAATTTGCAAATTTTAAGGATATACTAATTAAATGTACTTTATCAATCAATCAAGATTTCATTATTACAGATTCACAAGAAAAAACATTAACTTTATGTAAATTGAAACACAATATTTTTGTAAATAAACCAATTTTCAACATTGTAAACTAATTATAAAAATTGATGCTTTGTTAATATATTAAAATAGTCCTTTCACTAACAAACATTTATTGAGAGTTCCATAATAAAATACATTAATATAACTTTGAGAAGAAAATGGAGAATTTTTGAAGTTAGTGTTTGTAGAATTTACTATTGATAATTTTACATATATATTTAAATATATAATATATTCACAATAATAATAATAATACTTAATATATCATAATTAATTGTAAACAAAAATTCTTTTTAGCAGCACATTTTTTATAAGATTCTAAAGTGATCTGATAGGATATTCCAATTTTCTCAGTTCATTATAATTTTACATATTATCTTCAGATCTGCCTTTAATTAATATTCCAAAATTTTTCTTTTGATAGATTCAAATTGATATTTTGCTAGTAACAGTTAATCATCTAATTCTCATTCAATGAATAATGCTTTATTCCTAAATGTTAACATAGAGGTAGTTTTGGAAATCAGATTTCAACATAAAATAATTTTTTCCTCATAAAATTAATTTTTGGTGTGTTTTATTTAAAATATGAACATTTAAAAATTATAAAACAAAGATTGTATTAACAAAATACAAGAAGAGAAGATCAAAAGTATTTGGAGGTTTACAAGTAAAATTCAATCAATAGAACTGTGAAAGTTAAATTATTAGTCAACTTATAAAATGATAACCTAACTCTTTACTCTTATAAATGTAAAATTTTGAGAAAGTATAAACTATTTCAATTTTTAATAGAATGTATCTTCACGAAATTTAAGATAATTATAATTTGTTTTAGAATTTAGAATAGATAAAATATTTGTAATCGAAGAATTATTGCAGGTAAATATTAATAAATTTCAAAATTAGCTAATGTGAAGTTTTTGAACTTGGAGAATACTAAAATAATTAAAAATTTGGATTATGGAAATTTATTAATCACAATAAGAAAATGTACCATTTTTGAATAAGTTAAGTAGTGGTTGTGGTTTATACAATCAGAAGGCTTAGAAAAAAAGGAAAATGGATAGAATTAAGTAAGGTTTTTCTTGATGAAGCATTAGTGACTTTTAGTGGTGAATATAGAAATGGAAAAAAAGTTGGAACATGGATATATTATGGGATGACACAGGATGGAATAATAATAGGATGTAGATATATTAAATTATATTAAGTGACTATTATAATCATAAAATTGTGTGTTAAATGGTGGTGGATCATATGATGAAAGAGGTAATGGCATTAAATAGGGTAATTGGGTGGAAATCTAGGATGGATTTTAGAAGTTTTCTTAAATAAAGTATTATGAGGTATATAAAATGGTAGAAAGATTGATCGATGGGATATTTGTTATTATTAGTAGTTTAGAGATAATTAAAAAATATAAATATCTTTTAAGAATTTTCTACAATTTTAGTGGAGGTGGATCTTATGATGAAGGAGGAAATGGGCATAAGGAGGGTTATTGAGTCGAAATATCAAATGGATTTAAATGGGATTCTAAAGTAACGTTTAAAGGCCAATATAAAAATGAAAAAAAAGTTGGTGTATGGATGGAATTTGACATATTGGAAAATAAGAGGCTTAAATCAATGAAGTATGATAAATGAATAATACCTAATATAATTAAAATTGAATATGTATAATTTGAGTTGGAAAATTAAAGCTTTATTACCAAAATTATTGTAATTTTATTTAAGATTTACTTGTATTAAATGTTTAATTTAATGAATTAGTTTTTGGTTTTTTTTTTAAATATTTTAGAATTATTCTATTTGTATTTTACAATTATAGAATATTAAAATAATTTTTATTGATATCTTAAAATCATGTCAAATGATACATTTCATGCTAGAAAATAGATCATATTCTGTTAATAACTTCTTAAATATATTTAAAGAAGAAAATTAATTTCAGGAATGAACTTTAATTATTCAAATTAATATTTATATTTAAGATATGTTTCAGCATTTAGATCAACGATCTATTTTGAATTAGTTATTACAGCAAATATTGTATTTCCTTTTCTTTTAGACTGTATTCGTTGGGATATTACTCTTTTAAAGGTTTCTAGATTATTAAAACTCTTATTTTCGTAATAATGTTAATTCAAATTTTCCTATCTTTCAATTGTGTTTAATTAAGTAGTTTTTAATATGATGTATCCTTATAATCTTAAAGTTTTATTATTTTTATTTCATAATCTGTAAGGTGTTTTTGGACAAGGAATCAATAACATCTGTAGAATATTTTAATGTAATTTAGAAATTTATTTAAAACTAATTCTGAATTTTAATTATCATACAAAGCTGATTATAGAATTAGCTAATAGTATTATTATTATTTTTATTGAATGTTGTCATCTCATATAAATTGTGATCGACATCCTTAATATGGATTAGTCAGTATATGTACAGCTAAACATTAATGCTAACGAAAGCTTTGTCCCTAATGTGTATAAGAACATAAAATTGCAAGTGATTTGATTATTCCATATCAAAAATTTGTTGAATAACTTCTTCAAAAATTTGATAAATCATAAATTGATTTTTAATCATAACAATCAACAACTTTGTTATAAACAATTCAAAAAAAACTTGACTCAATTTTAGAAGAGGTCAAAATCATAATTACAAATTTAAAAGAATCAATCAATATAATTAGTACGATGAGTAAATATGGAGACAATAGGTATGAAAATCTTATAAATCCAAACTTAAATCCTTTAGAATGTAAAGTGGAAGATTTATAATTTCTTGTTGAATTTTTAAATTCAAATAGTGTCATGGAATGGAATAAAAAGAAGAAAATTGTATTGGATTAAATGACTAAGGTTATTCCTTTTTGGGAGAAATTAGTGATTGGAGCTTGTAGTCTGAATCATGCTATTGATTATGTTAAGAATTATTTGTAAATTTATTATGTAACTTCAAGTACTTAAAAAGAAATAACTCAAGAAATTATTTGTTTAGATGGATTAGAATAGACTAATTATGGATTAAGTTCCACTAAATTTTATTTCACAAGAAAATCCAACGGCAATAAAATTTATTCCAAAGAAGGAGATTGTTTAAGATTGTATATCTTCTTAATTAAAATTTTAGAGAAAATACTTAATTAGGTTAATAAGTAGAAGATATAATCCATAATCTTGAATAAATACGATATTTATAATTTAAAGGATAATTTGGAATTAATGGTTATAAAATTAAACAATGGAATTATTTTTGGAAAGAATAATAAATTGGAGGTGGTAAATTCAATTTTTAAGGATAAAAAGAAGGAAAGTGGATTGATTTATGTCAGGATTATTGCGAGTATTTTATTATAACAATATCATATTAAAGTTAAAAAAATGTAATTGAAATAGGTAGTTATTAATTAGACAAAAGAATTGGTTGTTGGAATTATTTTTGGAAAAATAATAAAATGTAAAATATTGAAAATTTAATATCAGTGGTGGGGGGTTATATGATGAAATAGGTAATGAATTTAAGACAGGTTTATGGATAGAATTAAGTAATGGATTTAGGAATAATTCATAAGTTACTTATAATGGAGAATATAAAAATGGTTAAAAAGTTGGGAGTTGGGATATTTTTTATAACTATGAAGGAAAAAATAAAAAGATGTAATAATTATTGTTTTTACAATTTAGTGGAGGTGGATCATATGACTAAATTTATTAAATGAAGATTGGGAGATGGATTGTATTAAGTGATGAGTTTTACAATTAATCATAAGTGACTTATCATGGTGTTTATGTTAATGATAAAAAAGTTGGTAGATGGGATATATTCTTTAAAGGGGAATATGAAGAAGAATTTAAGAAGATGTAAAATTTAATTTTAAATATTATCAAAATTTATTGTAGTGGAGGTGGATCATATGATGAGGAAGGTGATGAGTTAAAAATTGGGAAATGGACAGAGCTTAGCAGAGGGTTTAATTTTTATTCTTAAGTCACTTATAATGGTGATTATAAAAATGGTAAAAAAGTTGGCCAATGGGATATTTACTTTAATTGGAATGGAAATTAGAAAATGTAAAGTTGTTTTATAAATATAATCAAAAAATATTTTAGTGGTGGTGGATAATATGCTGAAGAAGGTAATGAGTTTAAGGTTGGAAAATGGACTGAGTTGAATGATGGATTTAAGGATGATTCATAAGTAACTTATAAAGGCGAATATTTATATGGTAAAAAAGTTGGAAAATGGGATGCTTATTTTAAAAATATTTATGACGTTTCCAGATATGAATGGATGTAAAATCTCATTTATTAATATTATATAGTGGTGGTGGTTTATATGATGAGGAAGGTAATGGGCTCAAGATTGGAGAATGGATTGAGTTGAGTGATGAGTTTGAGCATAGATCCTAGGTCACTTATAATGGTTAATATAAACTTGATAAGAAAGTTGGTGAATGGGTTATTTATTTCAATCTTGGAGGAAAATAACAGATGTTAGATATATAATTTAAACAAATTTAGTGGCGGTGGCTCTTATGATGAAGTAGATTCATTCAAGAAAGGGAAATGGATTGAGCTTAGAGAAAAATTTCATGATGGATCTTAAGTTACTTATAATGGTGAATATAAAAAAGGTAAAAAAGTTGGTAAATGGGACATCTTATATAAGGGAAGAAAAATGTAAAGAAATTATTAATATTAAGTGGTGGAGGATTTTATGATAATGAAGATTCATTTAAAATTGGGAAATGGATTGAATTAAGCGGCTTATTTGCATTTAATTTTCAAGTCACTCATATAGGTGATTATAAAATTGGAAAATGGGATATTTATTGTAATAACGAGAAGATGTAAACTAATTATATATATGTTAGTGGTGGTGGATTTTATGATTAAGAAGATTCAGTAAAAATTGGTAAATGGATTGATTTAAGTGATGGATTTTCAAATGAATCTTAAGTTACTTATGTTGGCGAATATAAAAAGGGTAATAAAGTTGGTAGATGGAATATTTAGTTTAAAAATGAGAATGTGTAAATAATTCTATAAATAATTAGTGGAGGTGGTTTATATGACGAAGAAAATTCAATAAAAATAGGAAAATGGATTGAAGTAATAGATGATTTTGGGGCTGGAGTAGGATAATTGAAAATAACTTATAATGGTGAATATAATGATGGTAAAAAAGTTGGTATATGGATAGAAATGGATATAGGTGGAAATAAAAAGCGTAAAGAAATATCATATAATAATTGAATCATAATTGTGCTAAAAGTATTTAAAGTATATTATATAAATTTTGATGTTATTAACAAAATGTTAAAATTGATATAATGTGTTTTATTAATTAAATAAATCTTACATCAAATGAATCTAAAATTAAGATTTTGATCTAGATTATTATAATTTATTAAACTTAAAGTCATTGGAGTTTATTGACAATTGAATACTCTTAGATTAATAGTACTAAAGATATATTTTGGACTAAAATTAAAAAATCTTAGTTTTAGAACATCAGAAAAATATTATTTTAACAATTTAATAAAGGACCAAAATGTCATTATGAATAATTATATTTAATTATAATGTAATTAGAGTACATCATTATATATCATTTATATGTGCAATTAATATGTTTTTGAAATAAAGAAACACATATCTAATTCTGGAAGCAAATGAATTTTCTTAGGATAATGATTTTGGATCTTTTGATTTAAATTGAAATACATAACATTATTTTAGCTTTATTTTAATTATTAAGAAATCGATTAAGTTGATATTTGATATTCAAAATTATTCTCTTGGAATTTAATTTATTTCTTATATCTCTATTAATAGAAATATTAAGCTTAACCTTTAAATTTTAGAACTTATTAAAATGATTCCCTGTTCAATGAATATAATTCTCTCTATCTCAATTATAACTTATAGTTTGAAATTTCTATGAGAGAAAGTAAGTATTTTTAATATAAATATTGCTTATAGCTTTACAATTTATTTCCTATTCTAATAAAAATAAAATAACTTAGTCCAACTACAATATGAAGACAAAATAATTGAGAAAAATGTCTTAGAAAATAAATTAAGGGATTTATTAATTAAATTTATTTCTTACTTTAGATATACTTATAATCTAATCTCAATTTTAATAGATATATTTCGCTATCCTCATTAATATAAATCTAAAGCCATATAATTCATCATTATCTGTACTTCTAACTAATTGCTACAATATTTTAGATAAAACAATTACAATATAAATTTAATTCTTCAAATAATTTACCTTATTATTCAGAATTTTCATCCTCAAATCTTTTATTTAAAATAAATTCACTTTTAAATTCAATAAAAAAAGAATATTTAAAATTTAAAACAAATATTAATCATTCGATTTATATAATTTTTTATCTTTTAAGGGGTCATAATTATTAACATATATTTATTAAAAATTCAAATAATATTAGAGAGTTTGAATGTAGAGAAATTTCTAGAAAACAATTAAAAATTATATTTATTCTAATTTAAAATTTATAGATTATATTCTCAAATATTTCTTCAGAAATTATGAATCAAAGGTATTATAATTAATAATATTCATTATCTACTAAAAACTCTAAGCTAATTCAAATATCTTATAATCATTCTAATGAACTTTTTTTTTAGTAAGGTAAAGAATTATATACTAATATATTTTAAGAATAAGAGTACTAATATTTATCATATATTGATGATTCTTCTGTAAGCTGAATAATATTACTTTTGTAAATAATTAGTTGAAAAATTCTGTTCATCTCATCCCCTTAACCATAGTAAAGGATTTTAAAAGTCAGAAACTAATGTTTATAAAAAATATTGACAAAAATTAAAAGCATATAGGTATAATAAAAATATCTTCAAACTTTTGTTTTCCTTCATGTATTTACTTTTTTAGAATAATACAATGTAAAAAGTTTTTAAATATAAATAGTTATTATTTTAGATTAATTGCTGAAAAAAGGATTAATAAAATAAATCCTTTTTCAATATGGCTAATTATTATAAAAAATAAAAGGATATGAATAGGTAAAATCTAAATAGCCCAAAATTTTGTAATCAATTAATCTATCAATTTATTTAAAAAAATTACAAAATAATATTATAAGTAAATAAGTAAATATTTGGAAATTGATATTTACTTTACCTCAATACACAAAAAGGAAAAAAAATCTTTATTAACATATAATTTAGATTTTGAATAATATTATTGGATAGAATATTATTGATTATTTAGATAATATTTAATAATAATCAAGCATACTAATAAGATAAGAAGTAATGAAATAATATTCAAATAACTTAATGTTTATTTATAAAGTAAATAAATTATGATATTATTAAAATATAATAATATATTATATTAGATGCTTTAAAAAAAATAAATATCAAAAATATGAAGTCATTGATGTAAAAAAAAATAGAATTTCAAGAAAAAAATGGTTTGAATTTTAAGATTAGAAGTATATATAATGTGCTAAATTGAATTTAGAATCAAAGAGATTCCAATTTAGATTAATAACAATAAACTTAAATAAAAATAATAAAAATAATAAAAAAGCGTAATAAATATTATCATCCTAATTGGATGTCATTTTTTAATTTTTGATCTAATTTTTCTAACTATTAAATCATCTTATCATATAATTACAATTTAGTTTAATAATCATAATAAATATCGTAATAATCTCTCTTTCTTACATCAATTATTGATCCAATATATTAATACATAAATTCAATACCATCCAATCAATAACGAGGATATTTTTAATTTAATTCATATATCTATTACAAAATCTTCAGTTTCTATTTTGAGATTCTTTCAATTTCAAATTCAAATTATATCTATATTTGCCACCCATTATTTAAACTATATCATTAAAAATAATTATCCTCGCTCAATTTATCAATCGGATTCATCAATAAAATAAAATATTTGATAATCTCTATTAACATTTAAGGTTGTGATGAAATGACTTTTATTTCAATTAAATTTTTCTTATTAAAAATACTTGTCCAATATTATCTTAATTTTTATTTATCTTACTCTATTAGATTCATGCATTTAAGTATTTGTTAATTATCTTCCTATAAATTTATTAAACAAAACCTGATTTCATTTATTTTCTATTTACTAATCAATTTCGCTATAAAGTTCATATCTGTAATATCTAAAATTAACAACTCTATAACACAACTTCTAGTCTTACAGTCATAAAAAATTATAATGATTATTAATCATTTTTATAAAAAATATATTTATTATTCAACATAAATAATAGAAATTATATAATTTATTTTTAATAGATGAGATTCAACCAAAGGATATGAGAAATTATTAATATTTATCTTTTAAAATTGGAGTAGGATATAATTATTCTATTTATAAGGAATGATAATTTACAACACTTAAATGAGGTCTATAAAGCAGATTTGAATGCAATGTGACTTAATTATATTATTTTACAATGAGACTTGATAAGTAAGACACAAAGCAGACTAAATCTCTTTTGAAGAATGTATTATATAGCAAAGTTACATAATAAAAGGATTTAAAGTAAATAGAGTTTATATACTTTGTCTGAAATTATTAATTTATACTATAAGACAATTGCTATTTGTAGAATTATCTACTTTATAAATTTGATAAGTAATTATATATAATATATTATAAATTATTCTCTAGGATATTCAACAGAGAGGAAATGCTAATATAGGATATGAATGTATTTATGACTACACCTATTTCTTTATTATTTTATTTTAGAGTGATTAAGATTTAATAAAATTAATATATAAGCCAAATTTATATTGTAATAATATAATAAATTAAATAAAATTAATGAGTTAATTAAAAGAGTTTACATGTTTGAAAGAAAATCATGAAGGACAATCTATAGAAGGATTATGTTTAAATTTTAATTGCTCCGAACCATCTCAGTGTTGCTTTAAATGCATTAAAGACACTAAGACACACATCTCTTGCAAAAATGACTTACTATAATTTGATAATATCACTACTATAGTTGCTAGTTTTGGTTAGATAGTAGATAAATTACATGTATCATTGAATAAGTCCCATGAAATTTTCCAGAAGATATATTAAGAACTTAATTCTTATTTAGTGAATTTACAAAAAATTATCAAAATGATTTCAGAAGTTTTAACTTAACGAGATTTTTAAAATATTAAAAATAATATCAATTTTATGAAAGAGGCTTATGATTATTTGAATAATAAAAAAGAATCTTCAAAATAGAATTAAATTAGTAATTAAATATAAATTTAAATAGAATGTAAACTAAATGATACTAAAAAATTCATTAAGACTTTAGAAATAGAATAAACACCAGGATATTATAACTTAAAAGTACTAAAATAATGTATTTATATATTAATAAATTTTAGCAATAAATTTACTAAATGTTTAATAATGGTAGAAAGCAGAAAAATTATTAGAATAACATATAAATGAATCTAATAAAAATATATCTTTTGCTAAATTCCTTTAAAGTACATGTAAAATATATAATTTAGGCATTGCCTTAATTGAAAACAATTAACCAGGAAAAGGTATAATAAAAAGAGATGAAGCAATTAAAATGAATGGAAACTTATATAATGAACTATTGGAATTTGTTGATCAGGCATTTAAGAAGAAAAATGAAATATCCCTATATGCCAATCAGGCATTTAAGCAGAAGCCAAAGAATAAATTTATATCTATCATAAAAAGTTAATTATATCAGTATTTTCTTTAGGTTATGCATTAAATGGTTAATAGAAATATGATTAGGCGATTGAATAATGTTAAATAGTTTTGAATGAGTAACCTGGACATCCCCATGCATGTTATTAAAAAAGTACTATTTAATTTACAAAAGTAGGCTATGTTTTATAGGATTAAAATCAATATGATCAAGCTATTAAATGTATTGAAAATGTTTTTGAATCTAGAATTTAATATTGTATTGGTCATTTTTAGAAAGGTAGTTTATTTTGCTATAATTTTAAGCATATTCTTTACAATTATAAGGGAAACATCAAGAAGCCATTAATGAATACAATTTAGCATTAAACTTAGATCCTAATTTTGCCTCAGCTTATAATAATAAAGGTTTAATATCATATAATATTAATAGGTTATTCTTTAAATAAAATTAAATAATATCAATAAGCAGTTGAATGTTTTGATTAAGCAATAAGTATAGATCCATTTAATGCAAAAACATATTATAATAAAGGTTGAATATGATATGATTTTAATAGGTTTGTCTTTATAGTATCTTTAGTAAAATTTTGAAGCTTTATTCTATTACACAAAAGCATTGAATATAGACAAAACTTATGAAATAGCGTATAAAAAATAAGGTATTTATAAAATATAAACAAGGCTATCTATTATAAAAAATGAAAAAATATAAATTAGCTGCTGAAACATATGAATAAGCAATTCAAAATTGCTAAAATGAAAACTATGAATTTGTAAAATTAAAGGATGTTGTCATAAAAATTAAATGAACTTCTATATTAATACCTTGTGATAATATATATAGTATTACTAAGTTTCTTATTTTTCTTAAACACTTGTTCAAAATTCTTAAAGAAATAGTATATATTCATGAAAATAAAGGAGAATGTTTTATTATTTAAGAAAATTTTGTTTGATTTTAAAGGGGAAATGATAAAAAAATAGGATTGGAATTAAAAAAATGATATATAATACATTAATCCTATTAGATATCAAAATGATCATTTTTTTATTTTTCATATCATCATCATAATTTGAATAATTAATTGACAACATTAATGTAAAACTAAAAAATTATAATTCCAATTAATTATAATAATTAAATATATAATATCACAATAAAGTAATAATATATTTATGTTGATAAGTTTAAGAATTCAACAATCTCCAGAATCTAATATCTTAATTCATAAAGAATTCCTTTTATATATAAAGAATTTATAGTAGATATTCTAAATATTTATTGAAATCTTATAAAATAATCATGCTTTACAGATCTTACAACCTGTTAATCCTTATTTTAAAGCCTATTTTACATTTAGTTTAACACTTGGATAATTTGATATTATATTGCAATTTTATTTATGATACTTACCTCCACTTTATGTTTTATAAACCATTTCATCTTATTATTAATATTAACTTTGCTCTTAAGATGAATAACAATTTTAATTAAGTAATTATGATGGTATAGCAAACTACAATATATTTGAGTTTATTTATTCTAAATTTTTTTGAATATTCAAACTTTTTGATAATTCATCAAATTGTTTATTTTATGTAATTTTTAATTATTGAGTCTCCATAATTTTTTTCTCTGTTTTTTCCATAACTAAATTAGCCATTGTTTAGGCTTCATTCAATTCAAAAATTATGTATTTGAATTAGGATTCCAAATTGGTAAAACTAGTTTTGAGATTTTATGCAGATTTATGATTTTTATTCAGTTCTGTATTCAGTTAATCTTCAATATTAATTACTTTTTATTCTAAATTTGTGAGTTTCATTTAAATTTCATTTAATTAATCCTTTAAGATTGTTTAAACGATATCTGTAATCACTTCAGATGACATAATTTTTGTATTTTTTTGAAAAAATAAATAATAAAAAAAGAAATTTAAATAATTGAACCTAAATTAAAAAAAATGAAGCAAAAATTCAGATATAATAATTTTATAAATCTAAACACTAAATTGATACATATGAATTTTAATAGAAAAAGAATCATCTTATTTGATCTTCTAAATCTAAGGATAATACTTCTATTTAATTAATATGTTTCATACTTAAACATTTGTAGATAAAACGAAAAAAATACTTAAAAATAAATTAAGATTCTTTTATGATAAAAATACTAAGCTAAATCTAAATAATTTTTGCTTACAAATTTATATGGGTTCATTTATATTAAATAAATATTTCTATCAATATTGTTGTAATTTGTACTAATAAGATAAGAAGTAATGAAAATAATATTCAAATAACTTAATGTTTATTTATAAAGTAAATAAATTATGATATTATTAAAATATAATAATATATTATATTAGATGTTTTAAAAAAAATAAATATCAAAAATATGAAGTCATTGATCTATAAAAAAATAGAATTTCAAGAAAAAAATGGTTTGAATCTTAAGATTAGAAGTATATATAATGTGCTAAATTGAATTTAGAATCAAAGAGATTCCAATTTAGATTAATAACAATAAACTTAAATAAAAATAATAAAAAAGCGTAATCAATATTATCATCCTAATTGGATGTCATTTTTTAATTTTTGATCTAATTTTTCTAACTATTAAATCATCTTATCATATAATTACAATTTAGTTTAATAATCATAATAAATATCGTAATAATCTCTCTTTCTCACATCAATTATTGATCCAATATATTAATACATAAATTCAATACCATCCAATCAATAACGAGGATATTTTTAATTTAATTCATATATCTATTACAAAATCTTCAGTTTTTATTTTGAGATTCTTTCAATTTCAAATTCAAATAATATCTATATTTGTCACCCATTATTTAAACTATATCATTAAAAATAATTATCCTCGCTCAATTTATCAATAGGATTCATCAATAAAATAACATATTTGATAATCTCTATTAATATTTAAGGTTGTGATGAAATGACTGTTAATTCAATTAAAATTTTCTTATTAAAAATACTTGTCCAATATTATCTTAATTTTTATTTATTTTACTCTATTAGATTCATGCATTTAAGTATTTGTTTAATTATCTTCCTATAAATTTATTAAACAAAACCTGATTTCATTTATTTTCTATTTACTAATCAATTTCGCTATAAAGTTCATATCTGTAATATCTAAAATTAACAACTCTATAACACAACTTCTAGTCTTACAGTCATAAAAAATTATAATGATTATTAATCATTTTTATAAAAAATATATTTATTATTCAACATAAATAATAGAAATTATATAATTTATTTTTAATAGATGAGATTCAACCAAAGGATATGAGAAATTATTAATATTTATCTTTTAAAATTGGAGTAGGATATAATTATTCTATTTATAAGGAATGATAATTTACAACACTTAAATGAGGTCTATAAAGCAGATTTGAATGCAATGTGACTTAATTATATTATTTTACAATGAGACTTGATAAGTAAGACACAAAGCAGACTAAATCTCTTTTGAAGAATGTATTATATAGCAAAGTTACATAATAAAAGGATTTAAAGTAAATAGAGTTTATATACTTTGTCTGAAATTATTAATTTATACTATAAGACAATTGCTATTTGTAGAATTATCTACTTTATAAATTTGATAAGTAATTATATATAATATATTATAAATTATTCTCTAGGATATTCAACAGAGAGGAAATGCTAATATAGGATATGAATGTATTTATGACTACACCTATTTCTTTATTATTTTATTTTAGAGTGATTAAGATTTAATAAAATTAATATATAAGCCAAATTTATATTGTAATAATATAATAAATTAAATAAAATTAATGAGTTAATTAAAAGAGTTTACATGTTTGAAAGAAAATCATGAAGGACAATCTATAGAAGGATTATGTTTAAATTTTAATTGCTCCGAACCATCTCAGTGTTGCTTTAAATGCATTAAAGACACTAAGACACACATCTCTTGCAAAAATGACTTACTATAATTTGATAATATCACTACTATAGTTGCTAGTTTTGGTTAGATAGTAGATAAATTACATGTATCATTGAATAAGTCCCATGAAATTTTCCAGAAGATATATTAAGAACTTAATTCTTATTTAGTGAATTTACAAAAAATTATCAAAATGATTTCAGAAGTTTTAACTTAACGAGATTTTTAAAATATTAAAAATAATATCAATTTTATGAAAGAGGCTTATGATTATTTGAATAATAAAAAAGAATCTTCAAAATAGAATTAAATTAGTNAAAAAAATAGAATTTCAAGAAAAAAATGGTTTGAATCTTAAGATTAGAAGTATATATAATGTGCTAAATTGAATTTAGAATCAAAGAGATTCCAATTTAGATTAATAACAATAAACTTAAATAAAAATAATAAAAATAATAAAAAAGCGTAATAAATATTATCATCCTAATTGGATGTCATTTTTTAATTTTTGATCTAATTTTTCTAACTATTAAATCATCTTATCATATAATTACAATTTAGTTTAATAATCATAATAAATATCGTAATAATCTCTCTTTCTCACATCAATTATTGATCCAATATATTAATACATAAATTCAATACCATCCAATCAATAACGAGGATATTTTTAATTTAATTCATATATCTATTACAAAATCTTCAGTTTCTATTTTGAGATTCTTTCAATTTCAAATTCAAATAATATCTATATTTGTCACCCATTATTTAAACTATATCATTAAAAATAATTATCCTCGCTCAATTTATCAATAGGATTCATCAATAAAATAACATATTTGATAATCTCTATTAATATTTAAGGTTGTGATGAAATGACTGTTAATTCAATTAAAATTTTCTTATTAAAAATACTTGTCCAATATTATCTTAATTTTTATTTATTTTACTCTATTAGATTCATGCATTTAAGTATTTGTTAATTATCTTCCTATAAATTTATTAAACAAAACCTGATTTCATTTATTTTCTATTTACTAATCAATTTCGCTATAAAGTTCATATCTGTAATATCTAAAATTAACAACTCTATAACACAACTTCTAGTCTTACAGTCATAAAAAATTATAATGATTATTAATCATTTTTATAAAAAATATATTTATTATTCAACATAAATAATAGAAATTATATAATTTATTTTTAATAGATGAGATTCAACCAAAGGATATGAGAAATTATTAATATTTATCTTTTAAAATTGGAGTAGGATATAATTATTCTATTTATAAGGAATGATAATTTACAACACTTAAATGAGGTCTATAAAGCAGATTTGAATGCAATGTGACTTAATTATATTATTTTACAATGAGACTTGATAAGTAAGACACAAAGCAGACTAAATCTCTTTTGAAGAATGTATTATATAGCAAAGTTACATAATAAAAGGATTTAAAGTAAATAGAGTTTATATACTTTGTCTGAAATTATTAATTTATACTATAAGACAATTGCTATTTGTAGAATTATCTACTTTATAAATTTGATAAGTAATTATATATAATATATTATAAATTATTCTCTAGGATATTCAACAGAGAGGAAATGCTAATATAGGATATGAATGTATTTATGACTACACCTATTTCTTTATTATTTTATTTTAGAGTGATTAAGATTTAATAAAATTAATATATAAGCCAAATTTATATTGTAATAATATAATAAATTAAATAAAATTAATGAGTTAATTAAAAGAGTTTACATGTTTGAAAGAAAATCATGAAGGACAATCTATAGAAGGATTATGTTTAAATTTTAATTGCTCCGAACCATCTCAGTGTTGCTTTAAATGCATTAAAGACACTAAGACACACATCTCTTGCAAAAATGACTTACTATAATTTGATAATATCACTACTATAGTTGCTAGTTTTGGTTAGATAGTAGATAAATTACATGTATCATTGAATAAGTCCCATGAAATTTTCCAGAAGATATATTAAGAACTTAATTCTTATTTAGTGAATTTACAAAAAATTATCAAAATGATTTCAGAAGTTTTAACTTAACGAGATTTTTAAAATATTAAAAATAATATCAATTTTATGAAAGAGGCTTATGATTATTTGAATAATAAAAAAGAATCTTCAAAATAGAATTAAATTAGTAATTAAATATAAATTTAAATAGAATGTAAACTAAATGATACTAAAAAATTCATTAAGACTTTAGAAATAGAATAAACACCAGGATATTATAACTTAAAAGTACTAAAATAATGTATTTATATATTAATAAATTTTAGCAATAAATTTACTAAATGTTTAATAATGGTAGAAAGCAGAAAAATTATTAGAATAACATATAAATGAATCTAATAAAAATATATCTTTTGCTAAATTCCTTTAAAGTACATGTAAAATATATAATTTAGGCATTGCCTTAATTGAAAACAATTAACCAGGAAAAGGTATAATAAAAAGAGATGAAGCAATTAAAATGAATGGAAACTTATATAATGAACTATTGGAATTTGTTGATCAGGCATTTAAGAAGAAAAATGAAATATCCCTATATGCCAATCAGGCATTTAAGCAGAAGCCAAAGAATAAATTTATATCTATCATAAAAAGTTAATTATATCAGTATTTTCTTTAGGTTATGCATTAAATGGTTAATAGAAATATGATTAGGCGATTGAATAATGTTAAATAGTTTTGAATGAGTAACCTGGACATCCCCATGCATGTTATTAAAAAAGTACTATTTAATTTACAAAAGTAGGCTATGTTTTATAGGATTAAAATCAATATGATCAAGCTATTAAATGTATTGAAAATGTTTTTGAATCTAGAATTTAATATTGTATTGGTCATTTTTAGAAAGGTAGTTTATTTTGCTATAATTTTAAGCATATTCTTTACAATTATAAGGGAAACATCAAGAAGCCATTAATGAATACAATTTAGCATTAAACTTAGATCCTAATTTTGCCTCAGCTTATAATAATAAAGGTTTAATATCATATAATATTAATAGGTTATTCTTTAAATAAAATTAAATAATATCAATAAGCAGTTGAATGTTTTGATTAAGCAATAAGTATAGATCCATTTAATGCAAAAACATATTATAATAAAGGTTGAATATGATATGATTTTAATAGGTTTGTCTTTATAGTATCTTTAGTAAAATTTTGAAGCTTTATTCTATTACACAAAAGCATTGAATATAGACAAAACTTATGAAATAGCGTATAAAAAATAAGGTATTTATAAAATATAAACAAGGCTATCTATTATAAAAAATGAAAAAATATAAATTAGCTGCTGAAACATATGAATAAGCAATTCAAAATTGCTAAAATGAAAACTATGAATTTGTAAAATTAAAGGATGTTGTCATAAAAATTAAATGAACTTCTATATTAATACCTTGTGATAATATATATAGTATTACTAAGTTTCTTATTTTTCTTAAACACTTGTTCAAAATTCTTAAAGAAATAGTATATATTCATGAAAATAAAGGAGAATGTTTTATTATTTAAGAAAATTTTGTTTGATTTTAAAGGGGAAATGATAAAAAAATAGGATTGGAATTAAAAAAATGATATATAATACATTAATCCTATTAGATATCAAAATGATCATTTTTTTATTTTTCATATCATCATCATAATTTGAATAATTAATTGACAACATTAATGTAAAACTAAAAAATTATAATTCCAATTAATTATAATAATTAAATATATAATATCACAATAAAGTAATAATATATTTATGTTGATAAGTTTAAGAATTCAACAATCTCCAGAATCTAATATCTTAATTCATAAAGAATTCCTTTTATATATAAAGAATTTATAGTAGATATTCTAAATATTTATTGAAATCTTATAAAATAATCATGCTTTACAGATCTTACAACCTGTTAATCCTTATTTTAAAGCCTATTTTACATTTAGTTTAACACTTGGATAATTTGATATTATATTGCAATTTTATTTATGATACTTACCTCCACTTTATGTTTTATAAACCATTTCATCTTATTATTAATATTAACTTTGCTCTTAAGATGAATAACAATTTTAATTAAGTAATTATGATGGTATAGCAAACTACAATATATTTGAGTTTATTTATTCTAAATTTTTTTGAATATTCAAACTTTTTGATAATTCATCAAATTGTTTATTTTATGTAATTTTTAATTATTGAGTCTCCATAATTTTTTTCTCTGTTTTTTCCATAACTAAATTAGCCATTGTTTAGGCTTCATTCAATTCAAAAATTATGTATTTGAATTAGGATTCCAAATTGGTAAAACTAGTTTTGAGATTTTATGCAGATTTATGATTTTTATTCAGTTCTGTATTCAGTTAATCTTCAATATTAATTACTTTTTATTCTAAATTTGTGAGTTTCATTTAAATTTCATTTAATTAATCCTTTAAGATTGTTTAAACGATATCTGTAATCACTTCAGATGACATAATTTTTGTATTTTTTTGAAAAAATAAATAATAAAAAAAGAAATTTAAATAATTGAACCTAAATTAAAAAAAATGAAGCAAAAATTCAGATATAATAATTTTATAAATCTAAACACTAAATTGATACATATGAATTTTAATAGAAAAAGAATCATCTTATTTGATCTTCTAAATCTAAGGATAATACTTCTATTTAATTAATATGTTTCATACTTAAACATTTGTAGATAAAACGAAAAAAATACTTAAAAATAAATTAAGATTCTTTTATGATAAAAATACTAAGCTAAATCTAAATAATTTTTGCTTACAAATTTATATGGGTTCATTTATATTAAATAAATATTTCTATCAANTAGGATTGGAATTAAAAAAATGATATATAATACATTAATCCTATTAGATATCAAAATGATCATTTTTTTATTTTTCATATCATCATCATAATTTGAATAATTAATTGACAACATTAATGTAAAACTAAAAAATTATAATTCCAATTAATTATAATAATTAAATATATAATATCACAATAAAGTAATAATATATTTATGTTGATAAGTTTAAGAATTCAACAATCTCCAGAATCTAATATCTTAATTCATAAAGAATTCCTTTTATATATAAAGAATTTATAGTAGATATTCTAAATATTTATTGAAATCTTATAAAATAATCATGCTTTACAGATCTTACAACCTGTTAATCCTTATTTTAAAGCCTATTTTACATTTAGTTTAACACTTGGATAATTTGATATTATATTGCAATTTTATTTATGATACTTACCTCCACTTTATGTTTTATAAACCATTTCATCTTATTATTAATATTAACTTTGCTCTTAAGATGAATAACAATTTTAATTAAGTAATTATGATGGTATAGCAAACTACAATATATTTGAGTTTATTTATTCTAAATTTTTTTGAATATTCAAACTTTTTGATAATTCATCAAATTGTTTATTTTATGTAATTTTTAATTATTGAGTCTCCATAATTTTTTTCTCTGTTTTTTCCATAACTAAATTAGCCATTGTTTAGGCTTCATTCAATTCAAAAATTATGTATTTGAATTAGGATTCCAAATTGGTAAAACTAGTTTTGAGATTTTATGCAGATTTATGATTTTTATTCAGTTCTGTATTCAGTTAATCTTCAATATTAATTACTTTTTATTCTAAATTTGTGAGTTTCATTTAAATTTCATTTAATTAATCCTTTAAGATTGTTTAAACGATATCTGTAATCACTTCAGATGACATAATTTTTGTATTTTTTTGAAAAAATAAATAATAAAAAAAGAAATTTAAATAATTGAACCTAAATTAAAAAAAATGAAGCAAAAATTCAGATATAATAATTTTATAAATCTAAACACTAAATTGATACATATGAATTTTAATAGAAAAAGAATCATCTTATTTGATCTTCTAAATCTAAGGATAATACTTCTATTTAATTAATATGTTTCATACTTAAACATTTGTAGATAAAACGAAAAAAATACTTAAAAATAAATTAAGATTCTTTTATGATAAAAATACTAAGCTAAATCTAAATAATTTTTGCTTACAAATTTATATGGGTTCATTTATATTAAATAAATATTTCTATCAATATTGTTGTAATTTGTACCAAATAAATATGATTGGAATTGATAATAATTAATGGAATTAGAACAAATAGGAAAGAAATACAAAACTAACAATTTAGAAATAAAAGTTTATAATAAAACTAGAAAGCAAATAATAAAATCTTGGAAGTAGTAATCAAAAGTTAATAGTTGAGAATTAAAATTAATCAATTGGAATAATTTATTTTTACTTTCAGAGTACATCTAAATAAATCAATAAGTGTTAACAACTAAATATTTAATGTTCTGGAATCTAAAAATAAGTATATGTAGGAACAAAATCTTAAGTATTAACAACTACAGAATTTAAAAAACTAAATTAATATTTTATTTGAAGTTATAACAAAAACTTAGACTCCAACATGATTGAGGATATTTTGTGTATTTTAAATTGTTAAAAGAATTTAAAACATTTTTGAGTCAATTATTTAAAGTATATTTACTTTAATTTGATATCTTAAAAAATATATCTATTTTCATAAGAATGTGTAATTTAAAATAATAATAATTTAAATAAAAAAAAGTGTTATAATATCATCATAATTTAATTTGTGTTGATATTCTATTTTATTTCTTTTATTTCCAAATTAAAATTTAAAAAATATGTGAAATACTATGATAATTTAGAATAATTTTTAATATTTGAAACAATTAATTAATGAACCAAATTTCTCAATAATTTAGGAGATTTGACATTTTTGGACAAGAAATAAGATTATAAGCTGATGGTCAATCAGCATATAGAACAAAAATTGGAGCATTTATGACTCTAATTTTATTTTCCATATTAGCCTATTCTAGTAATTCTTTTATTTTAGAGATGAACAAAGGAAAAAATGCTGTATTAAATTCAAAAGATTCCGTTATAGATACAACTGATGTATAATATATGATGATTACATAATAGGGTTATACTTTTCAATCTACTGAACTAATATTTGCTGCTGGATTAGTAGACAGCATGGGTCAACCTATTCCAAATGATAAAAATAGAATATTTACAATCAGTTTTTACTTTTGCTAAAAATAATATGGTGAAAATAATTGTATAAATATTCCAAGCATTATTTGTGGAAATCGTACTTCAAATATTTCTCTGGTATTGTTAATATCATATTAATAATAGTTAGAAATACCCTAGAAATATTTAGATATTACTTATTGTATAGATGAAGAATATCTAAATAAAAATCCAGAAATAAAAATTTAAGGATCACCAAAATTAGAAAATTTCACATAATTTGGAGCACTAGTTTAAAGATGTTTAAATAACACATTTAATTAAAGTATTTATTTATACAATTATTAGATTGTGCTTCATCTGATGAAATTGATAGATATATCACAAATTCAAATCTATATTATTCTTACTCATTCCATTATTTTAATAAAGAATAAGAAGACTCCCCTTACTAAAAAGCCTAAAGTATAGACTCTACTCCTATTTTTAATAAAGTAGGAAAGTATATTAGAATATATTTTAAATATTCACAAAGTTATATAGAATATAACCCTTTTTATTTTTTCCCTTAAGTTAAATAGCTTGAAGGTATTGAATATGAAAATACTGCAATTGACAGTACATTAAATTATGAAGACAATAATAATATAGCATTATTTGAATTAAATTTAGATGCAAAGAAAAAAATACATTTTATAACTTACTAAACTTTGATGGATGTAGCTGCAAAAATTGGAGGACTATTTACAATTTTAAGAGTAATTTTTGATGTAGTTCTATTTCCTTTCTAACTCATTAGTTATAGACTTTATTTAGCTAATTGTTTAACAAAATAATAAAATAATGTTATGAATGACGATAGATCTAAAAGTAATGAAGAACTTAATTTATATAAATTGATTATTTCATCAGTTTCCAGATAATTATATTTAAATTAATCTATAAAGATAGATAAATTCCTTGATATTACAGAGATACTGATTAATCCAATAAGAATAACAAAATAAATGGAGAATTTGTAAGGATCAATTAAAAGATATGACATTTAAAATTCTCGTAATAGAAATATTGTTTCAGAATTAGAAGAGGAATTAGTAAACGATAAAAATAATGGGTTTTTATATTTGAAATCTATAAGTCCGTTATCAATAAATGAAGAGTTCAGAATAGGAAGTTAAACGAATATTAAAGTCCCATAACTTTAAGTAAATTGATTCCATAAATTTGGAAATATTCTAAATTATTATTATTATTATTTATTAACGTAATTCCTTTTCGTAATATTTTCATTACTATATATAGTTAAATTTCTTAAATGTTTTTGAATCTATATTATGTTTGATTTTCATATCATTATGAATACTCAAAATAAATTAATCAAATATTCTCTACTAATTCATATTAAAGATAACGATTTAGATGGTTAATTAATTTATAATTATTTCTTTATTATTTATTTATTTAATTTTATATTAATACTGTAATGATTTTAATTTTTCTATTGATATTATACCCTTTAAAGGCATAATATTCCTTGACAAATAAAGCATTAAACCAGTCAGCCTTAGTTAAGAAAACAATAGTTGAATAAATTGATATAGATGAATCAGATTAGAATTTCCTTACTTTTGGAATTTGGTCAAAATATAGTCCATTAGGTATTGCAACTTTGAAGAATGCATATGGAATATTTGACAGTAATTGCTTTTAATTAATTAATTCTGTGGATAATGAAACATAAAGTCTAAATTTTATTTACTATGATTGTCTTGATGATGTGACAAAAGAGATTAAAAAATTCATCTAAATAGGATTTTCTTAAACTGAATAGTTTATATTCTCAAAACAAATAGAACCCTCATAATATGATGATATTTGGTTCTTTTTTTAAATTATAAGTTATATATCTAAAAAGAAAGTAGAATTAGCAATTTACTCTTAATTAAATTAAATTTTAAAAGAAACTATAGAACTTGCTATGCCTAATAGAGATTAAAAATTAATATTAACTTTTGGAGGAAGTTTAAAAGTAGATAATTCAAATATCGCATAAATTGAATAAGGAAGGATATTTTCCATTTATCCAGGTTAGATAATAGTATATAACAATGAGATGAAAAGAATATCTATAGATTTTGATTATTGGTCTAAAATTACTCAATATTTTGAGAGGATTGAAACTTGTTAATGTGATTATGGTAAAAAAAATATAAATTAAGATTCTCATTTAATTTATCTTGATTAATTGACTAATGTTTCAATGAAAATTAATTGTAATACTTATACTATAACTGGATGGTTATAGATATCTAATATTTATCAAACTTCAGAATAGTTTACTTATTAATTTATGAAAATAAGTACAATCTTAGATGGATTATAAAATGAAAATTTAGCTACATTTTAATTATTTTATCATATCTCACCTATTCAAAATAAAATAATAATTACAACATATAAATATGATTTTCCTTCTGTTACTTAAGATTTTTCAAATAATCCATTTTTAATTAGAAGGGAATTACCTATTTATAATTCGATTACTTCATGGCAATATATATTAATAAATTTGTAGGAAAATGTATTAGAATTTTCAATAATATTTTATGAAGGTCAAAATACTTAATCATATGAAACATCAATTGATATAAAGTAATTTGATAATTATTAATTAAAAATAAGTTATGGAAATATTTAATAATCAAATTTAAATTATATAGATGTAATAGTAAGAAATTTGTTATTTAATAATTGTATGCAAGATTTAAAATAATACAAATGTCATTATAGTTGTTAAGAATGTGATGGTCCTAATAAATATGATTGTTTAAATTGTTCTGAGGAATCAAATAGAATATATATACCAGAATATAAAAAATGTGTTTGTCCAAAAGATTCAATTGATGAATATTAATAATGCATTAATTTTATGGACTAAAATCTATAATTAAATGTTAGACAAAGAAAAAAAGCAAAATGTAAATTTGGTTATTTTGAAATAGATGGGGAATGTATTAAATGGTAAATATAATTCTATTATTTTTAGTCCTTCAATTATCTATAATAATTTAGTAACTTGCTTATAATGTTATTTTTTTGTATCTACATGGTAAGAATATCCATACTGTGACAATATTTAATAACTAACAATAATATCTACTAATGAAACATTTCCTGATATGAGAAATTTTTATTTTTTTGATGGTTCTGATTTAATCTCTGCTTGTGATCCTATGGAATGGTAAAATAGTATTCAAGATGAATATGGTCTTTATGAACAGTTTAAGTTACATATTAAAAGTTTCTAATCTTTTTGTAATTCTGCAGAACTCACTACTTATGATGAGAATTCTTGTTATCCTTGTAAACAAAGAGAATGTAAAGCTTGTGGTGTAACTATAGATAAAAATTTCATTTGCTTATAATGTTAATAAAATTATTTTCTTTCTAATGGCACATGTATCTATTAATTTAAAAATTTTAATTATTCATAATGTAAACCTCCATATTATGCATCATTTGCTAAGTAATGTAGTCTATGCACAATTAAGAATTGTCTTTATTGTTTTGAATATCAAGTAGATTATGAATTCGTAATTAATCTAAATTAAATTTATATAGGATATTAAATAAATAATCCAAAAATTGGTTGTATGTTATGTGAAAAA